AAAAGCACCTTTGGAGCAACACCTACAGTAAAAAAGCTCTAAACAGGCCCAGTGCAGATTTGCCACCAGTTGCAAAATGGGACAAAAAAATCATTGCTCAGAATTTTTTGCACATCAGCACCTATGGTATGTATTCCTTGTTAGGCTAGGCTATACTACACTCATAGTTATTAGAGATGCTTGGAAAACAGACAAACCACAGGTGTGTTGAGCCCTTTTTCTGCATTTCCTATTTTGCTGGAGCTGTGGCAATTTAGCAAGTTGCTTAAAAACATTTCTAGATCTGATAGAACAAATGAGTTTTTAGAGGATCAGTTCAACAAGTGATATTTTATAAGCAATACAATGACATTAAGGCACCGAATGGTAAAAATGATCTGTATAGCAGCTTATAGATGCTAATCTTTTGAGGGGGGCAGAATGAATTGGATCCAAGGGCATTAATGTGATTTTACAGAGAGGATTAGGATTGTTCTGTTTATTTCAGTGGAGCTGTTAATTATATCTGGAACCATCTCATTATGTGTAAATCAGCCTTAAAAATGTGTGTATAGCCCCTAGGGACACGGTGGCTGAGTGGCTAAGATGCTGAGCTTGTTGATCAGAAGGCCAGCAGTTTGGCGGTTCAAATCCCTAGCACCGCATAACAGACTGAGTTCCCCTTACTTGTCCCAGCTTCTGCCAACCTAAGAATTCAAAAGCATATAAAAATGCAACTAGAAAAATAGGAACCACCTTTGGTGGGAAGGTAACAGTGTTCAGTGTGCCTTCGGCACTTAGTCATGTCCACCACGTGGCCATGGAGATGTCTTTGGACAATGCTTCGGCTTTGAAACAGAAATAAGCACCACCCTCTAGCGTTGGGAACGACTAGCACGTATCTTTTACCCATTAGGTATAACCTGGTTTGATCTGGTAATTAACCCCTAATTTGAAAAGGACCAGTGCTTTCAGATTGTGTACCCTACAATGAATGTCAGCTTTAGGTGTTACATGAGGACTAGAGAGTTGGCAAAAGGCGTTCTTCAAAAACCCTCTATTGCGTTTCTCTGGATTTCCTAGGTTCTACAATTCCTTGCCTCTGAACGCTGGCTTTACAAAAAGCATCTTTTCTTAGCACTTTTCTACTCATTATTTTGCAAAGCTTTTTAGAAAGGGCAAATAGCCAGGGGAAAAAAAATGTGTAAAGGGCCGGCCCTGTATATATATATCAACCACCCACCGCTGCTCTGGTTTTTATTTAAATGGAAGAATTTGGAAACTCACCTTGTTTATTTTTTCAGAGCTCTTCTTCTGCCATGTCGGCAGAGGAAAAATGATGCTTAAGGGGTTTCTAAGAGCCATTTGTAAATAGCACCAAATGCCCAAACAACCTTACCCTGCAGTTGATGAAAGTGCCGTGATTTCACTCCGAGCTCTATATTTTTCAAGATATATTCCCTGATTGATAAATGATGTGCTGTAAGTGGGCTTCTAAAATGCAGCTGTGGATGGATGCCTTTGCCATCTGTCAGCTCTTTCTGAGCAGGTGCTTAATATTTTGCTCCTGCTGTGGGATGGTATTCATCTGCTGGTGATGAACGCAAAGGGCATTAATCTGCCCCTCAGCTGGCAAGATCACGAGTCCAGCAAAATACTGAAGAGAGACAGTCTTGTCTCTTGATTGCGTCTTATTTAGTCTGTTGGCTCCATTTCAGGCATCTTTTGCTGGGAACGCAGGAGATTTTTCTATTAGTTCTCTCCTGCTGCACGTCTCTTAAGAAGCGACTAATGTTGGCGTTCTGTTTTGCAGAGACCTGCTGTCTTCATTGATTCCAGAATGACAAATGTACGTTTCCATTCTAGGGTCTCCCTTATGCCGCATCTTTGGAGCACACTGTGCTTCATTAGTGGCCTTTGTGTACTCAAAAATGACATCCGACTGAAAAAACATTATGTGAGCTTCGAAAAGGAAAGCTTTTAAGTCAGCTATGCGGAATCCAGAGTTTGGCTTGGATTAGGAGTAGATTCAGTGTTTCTCAGCTGTGACAACTTTTCAGATGTATAGACTTCAATTCCCAGAATTCCTTTGCCAGAAATGGTTTTTTTGCCTTCAATTATTCTCATTTTTTTTTTAAAAAAAACCTCAATTTATATAACCACCCATCTCACAATTGTGACTCTAGGCAGTTTACATGTGTGTGTGTGTGTGTGTGTGTGTGTGTGTGTGTGTGTACATGGTATNGCAGAGATCCAGACCCTTACCACTCTCCCGGCCTTCCGTAAAGCTGTCAAGACCTGGCTGTTCTTGCAGGCTTGGGGCTGTTGATTGATATCCAGCCCCGCTTAGATGGAATGGGTGATGTGAATTTTAATATTGTATTTTTTATTTTTATTTTTATTTTATAAATTTTAAATGTTTCTTTGTCTTGTTGTGAGCTGCCCAGAATCCCAATGGGAGTGGGCGGCATACAAATTCTATTAAACTTGGAAACTTGGAAACTTATATTAAAATACAGCGTGTTATGCCTTAAAATGGCTTCTACTGTACAGCACAGTGGAATTGCCATGGTAACAGCTTCACAGTACTCCTCTGTTAAGTGGGAAAATCCAACATTAGAAATTACATTTGGTCCAGACATTTTCCCCCTATAAATAAATACCCGGGCAATGCCAGGTTATTGGCTAGTCTCCTATAAAAGAGCTGCCAACGAGAAACTTTAATAAACAAGTGTTATGGAAAAAATACCTACTTAACCAAAAATAATACTCCCTCCTATCTAAGTCTAATCTTTGTTTCTTTTCTAGAGCAAGTGGATTCCTTTTCAAATTAAACATCCGTTTACAGCCAGCTACCCTTTTTCAACTTCCGAGTTGGTTACACGGATTCCAAAAGCATATTTGTAAAGATTCAGGTGCTTTGTGTGTGGCACAGCAGTTCTGCATTGAATTACTTCTAATTAAAATGCACACGCAAACACTTACATGGTGTGGGAAGCATGACAGCTGCCTTGGGAAGTATGTGGGTACCTTGGCACCTACAGAGACAGCTTTGCCTACCCGAGTTTTAACAAAAATATCATAACAAAGTTGAATCTTCACTTCATTTGAATTAGATATCCTTGTGTATTTCTTCAAAATATTGCTGGTGGGGAGCTATACTATTATGCTTGGCTCTTTTAGAATGGCACACATTACTTAGAGTTGATTTTTACAAAATTGTAAAAAAAAAACCAGAAAAGAGAGTACAACAAAATCACTGTACAAGTCAAATTAGAGTTTGCTTTAATTTGTTATTTTCAGTCACTTTTTGTGTAGCCTGCAGGCTGATATATTTTGTAGAAGAAGAATCAGAAACATTCAGTGCTATTTCTGCTTAGGAGCCATGGTGATTCAGTGGTTAAATGCAGTATTGCAGGCCACAGGCATCAGTTCGATCCTGAGAACTGGTAAATTCCACCTCTGACTGGCCTCACCCCCATCTATTCCCTGCCTTCTGAGCCCAGCTGATCAGGAGGGAATGGAGATTTTACAGTATCCTTCCCCTGGAGTGGGATGGAATGGAGGTTTGAAGGTAGACTCAGTCCTCCATCCTTCCGTAGTTGGTAAGGTTAGGACCTAGATTCTCTTCAGAGAGTGCTGTAAAGCACTATGGAGTGGTATATAAAACTAGCTGCTATTGCTAAGTGCAGCTGGGCAGAACTTTAAATGGCTATTTTCTTTCGATGAACATTTGTTGAAGGTGACCTCCTGATTAAAAGAACACTGAGCAGAGAAGTGGCCCTCTACTTCTAAATAGTGTAGAGTGTCCACAGTGCTCTGTTTGACAAAAATTTGCATTATACAAGACAACCAGTTGAGGGCATCTGCATTGCTTTCAAGATGCCCAATCACCTGGTCTTGACAGTTCATGACTACTTTGCACACAAAAGTATTTAGATAATTTCCTTTGAAACATTGATCAGGGATGTTGCAAAGAACCCTTCCCTGATGTACTCAGAAACTGGCAAGGTGTGCAAGTGTTGCTTCAATTGGCATTACCCAGTTATCATATTTATGCAAAGAAAGTGCCAGAGCAAAATGTTGAACTCCAACTACTTCATAATTCATGAAATATACCATATTTTTTGGAGCATAAGATGCACCAGAGTATAAGACGCATCAAGATCTTGAAGAGGAAATTTTTTTTTAAAGTTTTTGCACTCCGCAGACCTCCCAAACCCTCTACATGCCTTCTACACGCCCCATTTTTTGTGAGAAATGTGGCATGCAGAGTTTGAGAGGCTTGCAAAATGCTCATGGGGGTTGGGGGGGGCAAAAACGAGCAAAAAAGGTCTGTTTTTTGTGAAAAGGGGCCTGTTTTTTTGCCAAAAAAGGGCATACATAGCCTTTAGAGTGCTTGTAGAGTGTTCCTGGGGGCTGGGGGGGACAAAGATGAGCGAAATATGGCCCATTTTTCACTCATTTTTGCCCTCACCAGCCCCCAGGAGCACTTTACAGGCCTCCTAAAGGCTATGCATGTCCATTTTTGTGAAGGGGGCAGGAGTTCAGGAGGCCCAAAATGCTGTATTCAGTGTATAAGACGCACACAGATTTTCACCCTCATTGGGGGGGGGAGGTGCCTCTTATACTCCAAAAAATATGGTATAAGAATGTTTTCTATTGTTAATCTTGATCTGTCTGATATCTCTTTTTCTTCTCTCCCTATGTATGTTCATATTTTGACTCTTTTCATCCCACCTTAAGCAATGTAGGAAAGTGCCCTTGATTAAATCAGTCTCTTAAGTTGACCGATTCAATCAAGTCAACCATTCCATCTAGTTGAATGGTATCAACAATGACCTGGATCCTCATTTCAGGTTTTCAGAAAGGAGGTTTTCCAGACTAAGCCCAGACATACCAGGACCTTCTGCATACAGAACGTGTGCTGTGCCAGGGAGTTCTACTTCTTTTTCTTCATTTGCCAAAAGCAGGAAAAGACAGTGTCTCACATCTGTTTTCTTTCTTTCTCTCCTCTGCAGGCTTAAACAGGCATTCAATCAACAGATGCAGAAATGAATAACTCCACAAACATAAGTTATTTGGAGGACAGAATGACCCTACCAAGTCCTTATAAAACAGTGGAGGTTGTCTTCATTGTCCTGGTGGCTGGGTCCCTCAGCCTGGTAACCATCATTGGGAACATCCTGGTCATGGTGTCCATAAAAGTCAACAGGCACCTACAAACTGTCAACAATTACTTCCTTTTCAGCTTGGCCTGCGCTGATTTGATCATCGGTGTCTTCTCCATGAACCTGTACACACTTTACACTGTGACAGGCTCTTGGCCATTGGGACCTGTGGTTTGTGACTTGTGGCTGGCCCTTGACTATGTGGTCAGCAATGCTTCTGTCATGAATCTTCTCATAATCAGTTTTGACAGGTACTTTTGTGTGACCAAACCCCTGACCTACCCAGTCAGGCGGACCACTAAGACGGCAGGGATGATGATCGCAGCTGCCTGGGTTCTTTCTTTTATCTTATGGGCACCTGCCATTCTCTTTTGGCAGTTTATTGTAGGAGAAAGGACGGTACCCGATAAGGAATGCTACATCCAGTTCCTATCCAATGCAGCGGTCACCTTTGGCACAGCTATCGCAGCTTTCTACCTGCCTGTTGTGATCATGTCCATTCTGTACTGGCAAATATCCCGGGCCAGTAGGAGCAGGGTTAAAAAAGACAAGAAAGGTGGAGCCCAAAATCAGGAGCCAGCATCCCCAAGTTTAGTTCAAGGGAAAATAGGGAAACCAAATAATAACAACCTCCCAACCAATGAAGACGGGACCGAACACAATAAAATCCTGAACGGTAAAGCCGCTGGGGAGCCAGTCATGGAGAACTGTGTTCCAGCAGAAGAAAAGGAGAGCTCAAACGACTCCACCTCTGTCAGTGCAGGTGCTTCCAACATGAAAGAGGATGAAGCAATCACGGAGAATCCTCGAGCTTCTGTCTCCCAAGTGAACGCGAAAGTGGAGAATTCGAAACTGACCTGCATTCGGATCCTCACCAAGTCGCCCAAAGGAGATTACGGTGGCCCTACTAATACCGCTGTGGAGATTGTTGCCACGGATGGACAAAATGGGGAGGAGAAGCAGAACATTGTAGCACGTAAGATTGTCAAGATGACAAAACAGCCTCCCAAAAAGAAGGCCCCTCCTTCCAGGGAGAAAAAAGTGACCAGGACTATTTTGGCTATTCTGCTGGCCTTCATCATTACTTGGACACCATACAACGTCATGGTACTCATCAACAGCTTCTGTTCGTCTTGTATTCCCAACACCGTATGGACAATTGGTTACTGGTTATGCTATATCAATAGCACCATCAACCCTGCTTGCTATGCTCTTTGCAATGCTACTTTCAAGAAAACCTTTAAGCATCTCCTTATGTGTAACTACAAGAACATAGGAGCCACGAGGTAAAACCAGAATAATGGGCTGGGGGGGGGAAGAGAGCTCCAGATTTTATAAAACAATGCCATAGCACTTTATGCTCTAGTATGAAATCAAGAAGCTGGAGAACATGACAACAAGATGAGATTTTGTGCTCCCTCTCCAATAACTGCACTTTGAAGATGATAACTTTTGGTTCTGCGAGTCATTTGGAGGGAAGGCTATCACTGAGTGTAAGACCCCTGAGACAATGTTCCTTCCTCTCTCTCTCTCTCATGGCAGAAGGGCTTTTGAATTCATTCTTCATCTGTGGGCACAACCTGTTCCTGAGAAAGTCTTCTGTGCAAAGCTTTTGGGGGTTTGCTTTGCTAAAGGAAAAACTATACAAAAGCATTTCAGGAAGCAGAACTGAGTAGGTATAATCAAATATTCCAGAGCCATTTATCCAGTNGAGCCCCGCCTACCCAGCTGGTCATTAGGGCAGAGAACTGGTTGTTAAATTATTTGAATCCCACCACTGGTATAAGCCCAGCTCAAACCCATTCATAAGCATAAATAAGAATAGTCTTTGTGAGGCAAGGCAAGGTTAGGTAAATACTACATGTTGTAAAACACTAGGAACAACTAGACTAAGGGAACCTAGAGTTTTCTCTTTCACAGTACAATATAAATTCTGGGAACCCACCTCAATCATATATTTATTTACTTATCTTTATGAACTTCCTTTTCCATTTGAGAGATTTAAGGGAGCATGCACAGTTGCCCCAATTAATTCATTCCTGAATATAAAATGGGAGTTATGTGAGGCGTTTTTGGCATAAATCACTCAATGAGTCCTATGACTGTGTAGGGATTTAAACTCTATGAGTATAGCTTTTGTTAAGATTTATCAAAGTTTTTGCCAAGTGCTTCTATCAGTTGTAGAATTCATCCAATTTATTCAAGATTCACATGCAGTGATGACTTTCTCTCAGTCCTCAGAGTAATATTCTAAAACTGTACCTGCCTGGGAGTAATTAACATTGACCTCAGTGAATCAGCATTCTAATGCTTACTAACCCTTTGTGTGTGAGTGATTCTGTGCATTAGTAAGATTTTATCCCCAGTCCTTCCAAATCCAAGATCTCATTTTTCCCCAGAAATAGTTTTTTTGTTATTTTAATTATTATAGATAATGCATGTCATCATAAATGTTATTGTAATTGCATATCATAATAGTGCAACATTTATTTAATAAAATGTCAGTATTTTGCCACCCCACCCCAACCAACAATTCTTCTGTATTGTGCAATGATAGTGAAATTTTATTTATCATTTATGATGTGAAGGATTGGGACCTCTATTGCTCAGTTGTTGAAATCTGGATTTTTTTTTTATTTATGTCTTCGGGACTGTGCACAAGGGACCACTAAAGGATTACATAACTACAGATATTAGTCCCTTCTGTTTACATAATGATGTCATCTTTAAAGGAAAGATTAAATCACTGAAAATCTATAGGGGATTATTTAATTTCTCATAGTGTCACTGTTTCTCCTACCCCCCAGATTTACAGGACATTTTGCATTCACATCATATCATTTCCATTTTTAGGTGTGCTTCCATGGGATGTAAATATGAATCCTTCCNCAGGAGTCTTCTCCAGCACCATAGTTCAAAGGCCTCAATTCTTTGGCACTCAGCCTTTCTTATGGTCCAACTTTCACAGCCATAAATTGCAAATCAAATCATTACAAACTGTTTAAACAGGAATTACAAAGGGAAAAAAAAGTTGAAGGAATTAAAAAGAGATGCCTTTGTTTCATTCTGATAAAATAAGTCCCTTGCTCCAAAATATATTTTTTTTCTTCAGGATTTCTCAGAGATGGTGAAGTGAATCCTTCCCCCTACTTTGGTAGTTTAAAATGCTTCAAAGAAAGAAAAAAAAAAGTTGCAAATTTTGATCAGCGTTAGAGATTTTCCTTTTCAGTAGGATTTCCAGCTATTTTCCCTCTTTTCAGTTTTAGCTGAACGTTATATAATTTCATCCACATCTTCACTGAAAAAGTAATAATTATGCACAGCAGTGAGGTAGTGATTTTGCAGAAATCAAAGCATGCCATTACCCCTGCTTCACCATAAGTGTGCAAAGCAGGTCAGCATTGTTACTCCTTTAGTGCGGGCTGTGAGAAGTAGGCGCAGAGAGGTGAGCACAGGAGAAGAAGATTTATTTTGAAGGAAACTTACTTGAGAACTTTACATAGCCAAGTTTCCAAGGGAGTTAGGAAAAAAGAAAAGAGAGCTTTTTTGCCATATCAAGTAGAAAAAAACATACTGTACTTTTTTCCTCTGAGTTTCTTGTAAGTAAGATTTGTTCTTAGGTTAGCCAGTTAGTGATACGTATGATAAGCCACCTGCAGGAGTGGTACAATGGATCAAGTCAAAGCTCTAGATATAATTGGTATGATTTTACAATTTGAGCTATAAGAATTTTTTTCAAGTGCATTAAGTGTTGTTCTATTATTGGTTTATGGAAATTAAAATGTTTTAGTATTAATCCCCAATCTCTTCCTCTGGTGCTTGTGTGAATAATAGTAATATTCTTTACAATCTAATGATCAAGTCCTTTATTATTTACCCAGACATTTGCTTTCATCGAAAATTGCAAATGAATTTGCAAATGTAAACTGGGCCACACCAATTATATGTGGAGCCACTGCTTGGACCATTAATGAAATGCTGATGCCTCTTGAGGGTGAGTTATTACACTGATTGCTAAATAACTCTCTCTCTCTGAGCCTGGAGAGGAATGTAAGGGAGTAATAAATTTTATTATTGTAGACACATGGCATGGCATGTATATATTGCAGCAAATCAGAGGAGTATACTTACATTAAAATCTGAAGCTCATATTTTAGAAGGCATGCAGGGCTATGTAAAGAATAAACTTTCATTCAAAGTAAATGTTTTATGATGAACTTTGGGACAATGTTGTGGGATGTATGTATGTATGTATGTGTATATGTGTATATGTGTATATATGTTTTTTATTGCGCTGATAAATAAATAAAGGGAGACTAGTATAGTTCTATTTCAAGCTATTTAGCTCTCATCAGCTAGCTGTGTGTACTCCATACACCCCCACCAAGATTTATAGAAAGACAGCAGCTCCGATTATACTTTATGCCCATACATACATACATACATACATACATACATACATATTTCTATTCTATTTCTATTTATTAAATTTATAGGCCACCCAATCCCGAAGGACTCCGGGCGGCTTACAGAAATAAAATTCTAAAAGAAAAGGTTAAAAAAACAAACAGAAGAAAAACAGATTAAAAGAAACTCATCATGCACCCAGTCTAATCGGGGCTGGACCTCGGTCAAGAGTTCAACAGCCCCAGGCCTGCCGGAATAGCCAGGTGTTAATAGCTTTTCGGAAGGCCATGAGAGTGGGTAGGGTCCGGATCTCTGGGGGTAGCTCATTCCATAGGGCCGGAGCGGCAACAGATAAGGCCCTCCCCGAGGCCTCGCCAGCCAACACTGTCTAGCTGATGGCACCTGGAGAAGGCCCACCATGTGCGATCCTATCGGTCGTAGGGAGGTGCGCGGCAGAAGACGGTCTCGTAGATATCCGGGTCCTAGGCCATGTAGGGCTTTACATACATATACACACATACACATACATACATACTTACACATATACATACATGCATACATACATACATACATGTAACAATATATATTGTTAGGCCTGAGCAAGAAATCAGGAAGCCAAGTTATTCAAATGAGTACAAGTTTATTCCGTGCTATCTATAAATAAGAATCTGAACTACTAACAGTCAAGGCAAATTGGTGGTAGATTCAAGGAGGGTTGAACTTAGATCTCTTGTGGGCATTAGGGACTCCAAACTAATGACACGCTTGACCCCTCCCTCAGGCTCAGACTAGTCATCTTCTACAATGGGGGCTTGGATCCACCCAGCATGACTGCCCACCAATACAACAGAAAGTGTTCACAAATCAGAATGTCCTTTTCCTGGCCTGCTGATCTTCAATTGCCCTGGTATACATGGGGACTAAACATTGAAAGTCCCTCAAATCCAGATGGCAGGACAGATATTTCAAGATTGGCAAGAATGTTAAATGTGCTCCTGGTCTTGTATTGCTGTAGAAAGCATTTGAGCCTTTTGTTTGTGAGCACAAATCATCATTACTGATTACAAGAGAACATCTGTTACAGAGTCAGACTCCGTTTCCTATTCTGTAGCGTTACTGGCTTTGAGCTAACATGAGATAGCATAAAATAAACCCTGGTCTTCAAATGGCTCACATACCGAAAAAATGGGCTGTTTGAAAGCCTCCACCCATTCTGTGCTTCTTATGGAACAGAATTCTCCTTTTGATATTTTCTTAAATATCTATGCTCAAAGACTGGATGTAACCCACAAAATACAGCTCGTCTCTTTGAATTTCATGCCTGAAAATCTTCCCAGAGATTCTGGGTCATTGTAGCAAGGCTCTATAGAGAATTGTCATTTAGAAATGCTGGCAGTTAGGGAAAAAATAAAAGGTATGTTTCCTGTTATTATTTTGTAACTTTCTCAGGCTGGTTCATTAACTGCCAATGTATTGCAGTTGACTGCTAGATAAATTGTGCTAATTTACTAAAGAGTTCACCCCCAAACCCCCGCCTACATGAAATACATAGAAAATAAACAGGGGCTTCTTAAGTCACCTGTAATTTTATTGCAGGTGAAGGACAAATAAGCAAGGCTGGCTATCATAAACATCTATTTATTCAATGTTCTTATAACATGCATGTTAATAGGCTGTCCTATAAACACAAATAAGGGAGAGATCCTGATTCCATAGGATTAGGTAGAATTTCCCTTCTGAAACATGAGTTTTTCCAGTATATAGAAAGACTTAGAAAGACAATAAAAGAAAGGTCAAAGAACTAGGGGTGCAAAATCCTTCAGCAATTCCCATAACAGGAAACTGAGTCCAGCTCTTGAATGGCTCTAATTGCAATCAACTTC